AGAAATAAAATGTTTTCCAGGCAAAGGAAAGCTGAGGGAATTCACCACTACTTGACTCATCTTACAAAGGACGCTAAAGGGAGTTTTTCATTCTGAAAGTAAAAACCACTAATGTGCAAAAACAAAATTGAAGGTGTTAGTAAAATTATGTTCATGAATAAACTCAGAATACTCTAATACTGTAATTGAAGTGTACAATCCATTTATAACTCTAATATGAAGCCCCCAAAAGCAAATCTATCAAAAATAATAATAGCTACAGCAATCTGTTAAGAGATAGGTAATATAAAAATATGTAAAGTAAGTCAATTAAAATTCAAAATAAGAAGGAAATGAAGTTAAAATGTGGAAGTTTTGTTTTTTCTTTGTTTCTACTCTCTGTGATCTAAGATAAATTGTCATCTCTTTTAAATAACTTGTTATGTCTATAAGATGTTTTTTGTAAACCTCATAGTAACAACAATCAAAAACCAATAATAGATGCACAAAAATTAAAAAGCAGCAAATTAAAAACATACTACCATAGAAAATCACTTAACCACAAAAGAAGAGAGTAATAAAAAAGAAAGAGAGGAGTTTCAAAACACTAGAAAACAGGAAACAAAATGGCAGTAGTAATTCCTTACTTATCAATGATAACACTGGATTTAAATTGACTCAATTCTCCAATTAAAAGGCATAGGGTGGCGGAATGGCTAAAGAAACAATACCTAACTTCATGCTGCCTATAAGAAACCCACTTCACCTCTAAAGATGTAGATAGGCTGAAAGTGAAGGGGTGAAAAAAGATATTTCATGTAACTAGAAACCAAAAAGAGCAAGAGTAACTATATTTATATTAGCAAAAATAAACTAAAAACCAAAGATTGTAAAAAGAGATAAAGAAGTTTACCTAATGATAAAAACGTCAATTCAGCAAGAAAATATAACAATTATATATCTGTGCACCAACACTGATAGATCTATACAAAGATAACTACAAAAAAACTGATTAAAGTAATTGAACAGAACATTTAAACAGGAATATTTCTATGTCAGGATTGGAAAAGTTAATATTGCTAAAATGACAACACTATCCACAGCAACTTATAGATTTAATGCAATCCTTATTAAAATACCAATGCCATTCTTCACAGAAATAGAACAAATGCTAAAATTTATATGAAACCATGAAGACCCTGAAAACCAAAAGCAATTCTGAGCAAAAAAACAAAAAACAAAAACAAACACAGCTGGAGGCATCACATTACTTGACTTCAAAAATTACTGCAAAGATACAGTAACCAACTATTCACAATAGTAAAGACATGGAATCAATCCAAATGCCCATCAATGATAGACTGGATAAAGAAAATGTTGTACATATACGTCTTTAAATATTATGCAGCTATAAAAAGGAATGAGATCATGTCCTTTGCAGGGACATAGATGGAGCTGGAAGCTGTTATCCTTAGCAAACCAACACAGGAAAAGAAAACCAAACACCGCATATTCTCACCTATAAGTGGGAGCTGAATGATGAGACCACATGAACACATACTGGGCCTGCTGGGGGTGGAGTGTTGCAGGAGGGAGAGCATCAGGAAGAACAGCTAATGCATGCTAGGCTTAATACATAGGTGATGGGATGATCTGTGAAGCAAACTACTATGGTACACATTTACCTATGTAACAAACCTGCATATTCTGCACATGTACCCTGGAACTTAAAATGAAAGTTAAAGATTAAAAAAAAAAAGCTATAGTAATCAAATTAGCATAGCACTGGCATGAAAATAGACATATAGACCAATAGAACACAATAGAGAGCCCAGATATAAATCCATGCATTTACAGCCAGCTCATCTTCAACGACAGCATCCAGCATGCAATGGGAAAAGGACAGTGTGCTTAATAATGGTGCTGGGTAAACGGGGTAATTACACACATAGGAGGATGAAACTAGACCCCTATATCTAACTATACAGAAAAGTAAAATTAAAATGGTCTAAGGGTTTAAATCTAAGACCTGGAACTGTGAAACAATTAGATGAAAACCTTAAGGAAGTGTTCCAAAACATTAGTCTGAGCAATGATACATTGTGTAAGACTTTTAAAGCACAAGCAACCAAGCAACAGTAGACAAATGGGATTGAATCGGTCTAAAAAGCTTCTGCACAGCAAAGGAAACAATCAACAATGATTTAAGGTCCTGTGGGGGGGATTTGTTAAAGTATAATTACAATGGAGGCCATGGTTTTTCCCTAGGTCAACGACCCATAGCCACTAAACCAAAACTTAAGCTATCCTGAATTCACTGAAATGCAATCTCTAACCATTAACAAAAGCTAAGGTTGATAAAACTGAACCAAGCTGTTATAGACAAATACCCTTATACGGCTCTACTTGTCCAAAAAGGAATAAGATTTTTATAGCCAGTCACGATAGAGGTCAATGCACCTCCTCATTAATGCTTTAGAAGCTGCACTGTAACTCTCCTGTCAAATTTCTTACCACTTTTGATTTCAAGTCTTCCAGTTCGTGAACTATTCTTTTTTATGTACATAAACCTTCATATTCCGTTTTTACTTAACTTGACTTTATTTTTACGGGATCCTCCATGGAGTTTGGGCTTCTCACAGTGCGGCAGTCTCAGGGTAATACAGTAGTACTATTTACCTGGCAGCTGTCTTCTATGAGCAAGGTTTCCAAGAGGAAGGAAGTGGAAGTTCTTGTGGTCTGGAACAGAAAGCTCACGCAATATCTCTTCAGCAATATTCAGTAGGTTACGGGAGTCACAGAGCCCACTCAACTCAAAGGGAGAAAACATAGGCCCCTTATTTCCCCTTAACACAGCTCATCATGGTGAGAGTGTCAAAGTGCTTGTGGCAATATTTATTTCCCCATAAAGAGAAAGGTCAATTTGGACCCAAAAGGTCAGAAAAAGCTGAATAGGGAAGGTAGTTGATAAGCCGGTTTTAAAGGATATGAAGCATTTGAAAAAGCAGAGCGTGGATAAGGCTGGAAATATCAAATATCTAAATATAGAACAGGAACAATGATGAAAAGACTTTTCAAAATGCTTAGCAAAATGAGAATTATATTTCTTTCTCAGCTTGTTTTGCTCTAACAGCAAAAGCAACATTGGGGATCAGCATCTACTTGGGCAAGTCAGTTTTTTCTGGTCACAAACAGGCTGATTCAACTGAAAAAATGTTTCTTTAAGTTCAGCTCATTTGAAGGAGGGTGAATTTGTGTCTAAGGATTTTATGAGACTAACGGGGAAAGGTCAGTCAGAGTTTAGCTTGATATGAGAAGTGCTTACTGTACACTATCTAATTACAGGGAAATGTATACAGTTAGTCCTGAGTCCGGATGCCGGGTAGCAAAACAGAGGCGTGATGAAGCAACCACTGTTCAGACAATTTGGGTTTACCAAGCCCTGAGAGGGTCACAGTGTGTAAGATTTAGTCCTTGAAGGCATCGTTTAAAGTTTCATTCAAAAGGTTTTAATCATTGTAACCATAGTTGTGTAAGCTAATTTCTGTGTGTTGCAAATGTGCATGTGTGCATGCGTGCATGTGTGTCTATTCAGCCTATTTTGAACTCAATGACTGGCACCTGGTAGATGATACTGTATCATTCATATTCTGTCACTACCAATTTGAGGAATCTACATTCTTTCCCCAAAGTTTTGCGCATATAACACTAAACCAGAAACGGGCATGTTTTAATAATATGTACCAATAAAAAATTATCCTGTCTGGAGTAAGCATAGGTTTTGTTAAATAGTTCAGTTTTCAGAATTTGTATTTTACTTTCTTTCTAATCCTTTTCTTTAAACGCTGTTATATTTTGAATTTAAGAATGTGAGAGCTGAACTCCAAAACATAAAGGGAGAGGAGACAAAGCTCATGAAAATCTTTAAAATATCTTTTAATGTGTTATAACATCCCGGAGAGAAATCAAATCAATGTATTTCAATGTTATAACGTAGATTTCTCCCTCCACCCTCCCAAACCCCCCAATCCCCCGTAAAGCACTAATTAGTTGTTTTATTTAATTTGGTCCAGAGCACTGAAAATGCCAAGCTACAGCCTTGTGGGTAAGAGATAGCATTATCTTTAACAGTGTTCGAATTTAACAAAGGTCAAAGTCTTTGCGCGGTTTGTCTACTCTCTGTCGCTATTGTTTCTTGAGCTCTAGGTGGCTCCTCAGAAGCTGCTAGGCTTAACAAAAATAAAATCAACCGGATATGGGGCCTTGGGACTCTGAAACCTTCAGTCGGAGAAAATCAGTTAAGCCTTCAGAGACTCGAAGAGAGGGTGTGTGCGATTGGGAGGCAAAGCAAAGAAAGATTAGTTGAAGTTGTCTGACAGCTGGATAGAACCTTACACCTGCGCAAAAATAAGCCTCTGTCATAAGAGAAAAGTGTCTTCTATATTCTCACGCGTCCCATCAAAGTAAATTAGTGAACCCTGCCTCAGGTGAAGCGCAAAGGCCAGTCTGCAGGGAGAGTTTCAACCTCTCCCCAGGAGCCAGGGTGGGCATTGTGGTTAACCTACCCCAAGTTAGCCTAACTCCATCTTAGGTGTGAGCCTGAGTATCTCCATCTTAGCTCCCCTTCACTCGCACTCCGGAATGCACTTACTGATAAGGTATCGAGTCAAGCTGTACCCTCTCCACTTAGGAATGTGCCTGCTTATAACATAGAGAGCCCTTCGCCCGGCACCACTTATCTCTTAACTTTTGCTTGCTCTGCTTCTGTAAAAATTTGCTTCAGCCAAGCTCTCCTTCCCCTCCTTTTACGCAGGTATAAAAAGAAACAAAGCCCATTCTACGGGTCCAAGAGAATTTTGAGCGTTAGACCAGAGGTCGCTGGCAAATAAAGGACTCCTGACTCATTCTCAAAATGTGGCGCTTTCCTTCAACTAGCTCGGGTACAGCATCACCTGCCCAAGCTCTCTCCCTAGCCGAGAGGGCGGAGGCCGGAGAGGCCGCCGGGAGGTGGAACGCACATCCGGGCCCGCCAGCAGCCGGCTGAGGGCTGCATAATTGATGGCGGGCCGGGCGCCGAGAGAGCGTCTCCGGGGAGTGGGCAAGGCGGCCGGGCCCCTCCCATTCCGCCTTTTCTCCAGCGTCCTGTCCGCGGCACTGGCAGCGGGCGCTGGGCCACCGGCGAGTGTGCGCAGGGACTCCGGGCACCTGCGAGCCGTGGGAGCAGCCTCCACCGGGGCCGAGGCGGACCCCCCGGCGCCATGCGCGCCCTCTCCGGCCGGCTGGGGGCCAGGGCGCCTACACCCCGGCTGCTCCTGCTCCTCCAGTGCCTTCTCGCCACCGCGCGCCCAAGCTCGGCCGACGACAGTGCCCCAGGTGTGATGGGTACAGCGGCGGGGTGTAGAGGGCAAAGGGCGCGCAGGAAGGGGCGCACGCGGCTCGGGTCCTCGCGGGCGGAGGGCATCGCCGGCGCGCGGGGCAAGGGTGGCGGGGAGAGGCGCGGGGATGGTGGCTAGGGCGGGTGGCTACAGGCGGCGGCGGCGGCCTCCCATTGGCTACGCTGTGTCACCTAAGCTGAACCCTGGAACCAGGGCGATTCGCTCTCCTGCGCTCTTTGGGGCGAGTCTTGAACAAACAGCGCCAGGCTAGTGGGGTGTGTAGGTAATAGGGCAGAGTCTGGTTTTTCCTCGGAAGAGGGCGGTGGGGTGTGTGGGTGGATGCGGGAGCCAGCTAGCGACTTGGCTTGTGCAAATGTGCCATGAATTTTGAAAGCCACTTTTCCGCAAGGCCTACTCCCTTCTCTTGAATGAGAGTAAGGCTAGAGTATCACCTCCTTCCCTCCTCTTGGGCCGTGGGTTGGCTTTGAGGATGTTTTCTTTTAGAGCTGAGTGGGGAAGAAAAGCCATCATAATCAACCAACCAGCCAACTAAAGTCCCGCAACTTACAGGATAATGTGTGTGTATCTTCATTTTACACTGTGGTCTTTGCAAGCAAAATTGTGTGTGATTGTTACATGTTTTATTGTTTGTTTAAGACAGTTTGACAGAGGGATTAAATGCAAAACATTACCAAAGCCAACACGAAAGTTGCCATTTCCCCTTCACTTGTTTATAATTACTGTTCATGTTGAAAGGATTCCATCCAACCTATTGCAGATTTCTGTGTCATAAATGTTAGCAGCCAGTAAGGAAAATAAAACGCCACCACCTCTGAAGCTGGTAAATACTGGCCATTAGTAACTAAAATTGGGACACTATTCTGCATAAAGTTTTCGAACTTTCATAGGAATTTATTTTCATGGGCTTATAATATATGGACTTTTTGTTACACACCATAGAGAGGGAAGGATAATCAAAAAGTAAGACAATAAATTTATATAAATGCCTTTTAAAAGGTCTAGTTGTTAAGAACTTTGACAGAACATCTTGGGTTGCTTCAGTCCTAAATTTCCGTGCACCACATCTCTTTTTCCATTGTACCATTTATAAAGGATTGTCGGGAATCCCAGCACTTTTGGATGGTGAGGTAGGACGGCTGGAGTCCAGGAGTTCAAGACCATCCTGGGCAACATAGCAAAACCCCTTCACTATAAAAAATTTTAACAAGTGCGGTTGTGGTTGTGGTGATGTACACCAGTAGTCCCAGGTACTTGGGACGCTGAGGTAGAAAGATTGCTTCTGCCCAAAAGTTTGAGGCTGCAGTGAGCTATGATGGTGATGGTGCCACCCTGACATAGCAAAACTGTCCAAATAAATACCTGAAAGAAAAGAGGGAGAGAGAGAAACAGAATTGTCCAGGACATTTTTTCCCCTTCTGGGTATCCTCAACTCTTCTATCCCTGGTTCACCTCAGAGTATTGCAGTTCTGAGAACAAAAGCATTCTGGATTCATTGTAGAACTGATTGTCCACTTGTCTGTATGTCAGCATCACCAGAGAGCTTGAAAAATCCTGATGCCTGGATCTTGCCCTACAATACTCTGGTTCATTTGGCTTGGGATTCAGTGTGGGCGTTAAGAGTTTTAACACCTCCCCATGTAGCTTTACCCATGGGATTCTAAGCCAGTTGAAAACCACAGCTTTAAAATGATATGGCCTAGAGAACACACTGTTAGGTAGATACTTATTCCATAGGCATCAGGTTTAAGTTGATAGGCAGAGCAGAGCTCTAAAGAGAAAAAAAAGATAGGAACAAATGAAAGTGGAATAAATGAAGGTGTAAATCAATAAGATGAATGGGGAAGGGTATGTTCCTGTATGTGTATAGTATAACTTCTGTCCTTTTAGCTCCACTTAAGCTAAAATTGTGGAATAATGTACAAGACAAAAGTTATGAAGTTAGCATCGAACCTAAGTCAGAATTAAAAATTGTCTTAAATTTTAGGAAACAAGCTGACAGTGTTTTCTAGATTCTGTATTGATCTCTGTGAAATTCAGTTTTCTCTTTGCCAAAGACTATTGTGAGATTTACTGGATAGTTTTTACCTAGATGCATAGAACTACATACTTGGACATAGGTTTTCTGTTAACCTAAGACTTTGAGCCAAATGTTAATAATAAGAATAGTTATAAATAGTATAGTATAGCCCCATGAGTTAGCTTTTTTTAGTCTCAGCTAAAAAAAAAAAAGAATTGTCAGGATATTTTTCTCCCTTCTCGGTATCCCCAATTCTTCTATCCCTGATTCACCTTTCAAAATTTACCTCAGAGTATTGCAGTTCTGAGAACCCCTGCACTCCTGGGGGAGTCTCACTCTGTCACTCAGGCTGGAGGGCAGAGGCACATTCATGGCTCACTGCAGCCTTGACCTTCTGGGCTCAAGATGAAGAAATTGAGGCTTAGGTTAAGTAATTGCCCAAGTACACATATTTATTTAAGTAGCAGAGCAGGAAATTTGACATTGGTCAATCCAGTGCCTGTTTTCTTAAACACAGTGCTTAGACACAATATCCAGTTGTCTCTCTGAGCTAATTGGAAATGTCTATGAAAATTGAGAACTACTGACAGAAGAGCATGTGTGTCTAAATGTCTGATTTGCACTGAATGACGTGCTGACACTGCTTGGGTCCTGGAATAAAATTAGGTACAGGGATTCCTTTAAGGTTTTTTGATTAAATAAGAAATATTTATTTTAAATGATTCTTTTAACTTCCAGAGGATGTGGCTTTTGCAATCCCTTTATGAACCCCCTTCCCTACTGGCCCCTCACCCCAAACAGCAGCTTTCTAGTAATAAATATTTTTGAAACAAATATTCAGGCACCCACATATGTCTGACATTGGTTAGTCCATATCTCAGTAGAACACACTAGCAGTTTTTATCTTTAATTAATTAATTAATTTATTTATTTGAGATGGAATTTCACTCTTCTTACCCAGGCTAGAGTGCAATGGCGTGATCTTGGCTCACCACAGCCTCCGCCTCCCAGGTTCAAGCAATTCTCTTGCCTCAGCCTCCCAAGTAGCTCGGATTATACGCATGTGCCACCACGCCTGGCTAATTTTGTATTTTTTAGTAGAGATGGGGTTTTTCCGTGTTGGCCAGGCTGGTTTCCAACTCCCGACCTGAGGTGATCTACCTGCCTCAGCCTCCCAAAGTGCTAGGATAACAGGCATGAGCAATTGCGCCTGGCTGTTTTTACCTTTAAAGACATTTAAACTGGTTAAAGGAAACAGATTAACCATAAGCCTACATTTATTTATTTATTTAACTTTTTGAGACAGGATCTCACTCTGTCACTCAGGCTGGAGTGCAGAGGCACACTCATAGCTCACTGTAGCCTTGACCTCTGGGCTCAAGGGATCCTCCCACTTCAGCCTTCTGCATGGCTGGGACTACACACCCGGCTAATTTTTGTATTTTTTTTTGTAGAGATGGGGTTTCGTCATGTTGTCTAGGCTGGCCCTGAACTCCTAAGCTCAAGCGATCCTCCTGCCTTGACCTCTCAAGATGCTGGAGCTGCTGTGCCCAGCCTAAGTCTACCTTTCTTAGCGATGTTTCTGAGACATCAGAATTTTTACCTGAAATTTATCATCACGATAAAATTATATATTCAAAACATTTGCTAAGAATTAGGGCAACTGACTGTTTCTCATCTTCTGTCACCCTCACTTCCTTTCTTCCTTCCCCCTCTCATCTTTCCCTCAAATGAGGCAGTATCCGTGTGAATACATGACATTAAATCTCTATCTCTTTATTTATGTCTATATCTATAGGTATATAGATTTAAACAAGTATATGTGTCAATATATGTATGATGAATATATACGCATATCATATACATATATTTATGTGATATACATTATAAGTTGTTTGTGTGTGTGTATGAATGTGTGCACATGTATTCTTAGCAGTGATTTCCAGTAGTGATGCATATACTTAGCACACAGAGCTTGGATTCTATATACCATTCTTTACTAAGAGTAACCAAAGCTTCTTGGAGAAATGGCTGATTTCAGGGCCAGAGAGGGAAAGTAGCAGGTAAGCGTAGAACATCTTGTGCGAGAAAGCAATGAAGTTCTCAAAGAATAATGAGTTATGTCAAAAAGATACAGGAGCTGACATGAAGGGGTTTCCCACTGGACAAATCTGGGACAAATTTGAGCGTCAAAATAAATAATAATATTAGTGGATTATAACACATTTAATAATATGGGGATTCATGAGTACCAGCCGATGTAAATTAAAAAATGAATCAATGAAAAGTTTGATGAGGTACAATGTATTAAAGATTGAAAGTAACTCTTCAGAATATGCTTATTAATATCAAGGGAAAGAGAGTAACTTCCTGGTGGAGAAGCTTGGCAGATAGCACTTTGATCAAAGACCAAAAAATGGCGTGCCATAGGAGAGGATCTGGTGAGAAGAGCACAGCATCACCTCTGTGATGTTCCTACCAAAGGTGCCTGCCTCAAATGTAATCATATTACAGCTGAACTGTTTTGGAATTTAAAAAAGTGTTAAGGTTATGAGAGTCAGAAGAGACTGTAACGGTTTCAGAGTGAAGCCACAGTGGAGAGAAGTGGCAGCCAATGATGGCAATATGTGATTCTGAGCTGGAATCTTTTGTTACCAAGTGTAATATAGGGACTTTTTCTTTTTTGAAACTTAGATTGGGGATGGTGCTGCATATACATTCATTTCCTGATTTTAATGACTGTATTGGGATGAATGGGGAATGTCCTTTGTAGGAAATAGATGGCGGTGTTTTAAAGGGGCATAAAACATGAGATCAGAAACTTACTCTTACGTGGTTCAGAGGAGAAAATGTTCTGTTCTTGAAATGTTTCTGCTACTTTGAGATTGCTTGAAAAGAAACAAAAAAAAATTAGTTTACCTGAGAAAGCTTTGGTTTACATAGGCATTCAACTAAAACAA